AGCGTTTAAAAGTTTGGGGTCAGTATGATTTTCTTTTATGCTTTTTCACCAAGGTTGCATTTATTTAATCAAAAATACAGTGAAAACAGTAATACTGTAAAATATTATTACAGTTTAAAATAACTGTTGCCTATTTTAATAAAAAAAATTATTTATTCCTGTGCTGGCAAAGCTGAATGTTCAGCAGGTATTACTCCAGTCCTGATCCTTCAGAAATCATTTTAATATCCTGATTTGGTGATCAAGAAACATTTCTTATGAATAAAAGTTAAAAAAAATTTTTTGTGGAAACGTGATATATTTTTTAGGAGTCTTTAATGAATAGGGAATTCAAAAGAACGACATTTACATGACATAGAAATCTTTTTTAACAATGTAAAGGGCTTTACTGTCCTTATGATAGGTGTTCATTTAAAATAATAAAAAAATCTTACTGACCCCAAACTTTTGAACGGTAGCATACAATATATATAATACAATATACTGTACAAAAACAATGTACACAATGCATCTAAAATATGATACATAAAAATGCACAATGCTTCACTGAACGTACACTTCAGTATGACACATTCATAAATCAATATAGTCATGAAATAAGACACCCTCCCTTAAAATTCTGGACCCCTCCCCCAAAAGACACGTTCAGACAGGTGTAAACAGCAGTCTGTCTTGGCTGACCTTTTGTGATGAAATTCAGCTGAGACTAATGTTATTTCCCTATATTTGGAACAAAAACTTCATGTTTAGTTCCAGATTTGTTTGACTTTAGAGATTTAGAGTCTGTAGTCTAGACTAGAAATTTTAGCCTTTTAGCTATTCTGTCCTTTTTCCAGGTGCTCTTTTGGGAGGTGACCTCAACAATTCAAACGGAGCGTGCCCAAGCCCTGTGGGTAAGTCTTTCCTCCTACCAGCCAGAAGGCCCTGATAATACCTCTTCATTTTCACCTGAATAATGCATCAGTCTGAGTCAAACTGCTTAAAATCGAAGGGCACGCTCAAGACCTGCAGAGTGGAGTGAGAGTTTTCAATCTCATCCGATAAGATCTGATCTGACCTGACTGTGATTTTGAGAATGACAGCAGCTCTATGAAGGTTGTCCGGACACAAAAATCTGAAAGCGAGTGATCAGGCTATCGGACATCCAGTGTATGCTCACACACCTGTTTGCTCGTGACAGCTGAAGCTCACACTGTGTTCTTCAAGCATGCCTGTAAACACCCTCATGGGACCATGAGGCACAAGTGACATAAATGCTGTGGGTCAACACCACACACAGAAAAAAACAGAAAAAAGCAAACAATAATGTTTTCTTACATTATTGTTTGCTTTTTTCTGTTTTCCTGTCTGTTTCTGTGCCCTTGCATAATTGTCTTCCCATCCTCTTCCCCTCTCAGCTGTTCTTCATATCTCAGTCATGACATTCTGAATACCCAGCTTAAACCAGCACGCTCCGTCCCTCCCCTCCCCCTCTGTCACTCTCCCTTCTCTCCTCCCAGCCAATCTTGACAGTCCCTGACAGCTGTAGGTTCTCCTGCCTCTGAACTTCAAAGAGCACATGAGTCTCATGGACATTTTAAGTGGGCATTTATAATATGAACATTTAATCAGTGAAGAGGCTGAAGACCCTTGTGAAACACCTCCCATTTCTTGGGATTGTGTGTGTATTCTTTGGCACATTCCATTAATATGCCTTATTTTGGTGTTCTTTGACATTTTGTCATTTTTTAAAAGGTTAGAGTCCAATTTCCGTTTTTTATTTTTATTTTTTTGTTATGTGAAGTATTAAATGTAAACCTAAATTTAACCAAGAATTAAATGATAAATTTTTTTTGTCAGTAATTTTTGTCCAAAAATAGTCTGCCCCTTTATAGTGCTGGGCAACGATTAATCACGATTAATCGCAATCCAAAATAAAAGTTTTTGTGCGTATAAAAATGTGCACATAATGTGTGTACTGTGTATATTTATTATGTATATATAAAGACATACAGTATATATTTAGAAAATATTTACATGTATATATTTATATTCATATAATTTACATTGTATATAAATATATGTAATATATAAACATAACATATTTTTCTTAAAGTATATACTTGCATTTGTGTGTATTTATATATACATAATAAATATACACAGTACACATAAATGTATTATGTACACAAAAACGTTTATTTTGAATGCGATTAATCGTTGCCCAGCACATATATATATATACGATATATATACAATATATATGTTTATACAACAGTTCGTTCTGGTTCTCAAATCTGATTGGTTGAGAACCGTGAGATATTGTACTGGTATCGCTAGTGTACATATATATACATATATACACACACACACATGCACACACACACACAGTATATATATACACAGTGTGTGTGTATGTATGTATGTATGTATATATATATCGCCTGTGGCGAGCGCCCGCTTATATAGCCAGATGCCCCGCTCATTCTGGCAGGCAAAATATATATAAAATTTTAATTTGACTAAATAAATGATTTTGACATTCTGTACTTTTCTTGCTGTGGAATTAATTATTTTTTTCTTAAGAAACTTTTAAGAAGCTCTTAACAAACTGCTTTTCTCTGTCCATTACCACTCCTTGTGTCTCATTCTCTCTCTCTCTCTCTGTCCGTTGCCCCTCCATTCCCAGCTGTTGCTCTGGGAATGTCAGCATTGACGTCATGTAGCATTCCTACCATTCCCATGAGAGAGAGGGACAGAGAGCGAGAGAGACATGGACATAGAGGAAAAGAAAAAAGCAGTCAGTCCTTTTGAAGTCGAGATTAGTAGATGCCAGGGCTTACAACCACCACTCACACTTATTTACTCACACAAACAGCACACTCACATATACACGCTCATATCCACAATATTTACCAGCATACTTTCTGACCCAAGTTCATAGTGTGTTTATACACGTTTCTGTCCCAGCCCCCCTCTAAAAACCAGACTGAACTTAAAGCTGTGTTTCCTGGGGCAGAGAACAGCTGAGCACGTCTCTTCTCTGCTGCCAAGGAATTGCAGCTCCCTTTGCAATCTCTTTCCATTCAGAGCTGCTGACGCGGTTGTTGCTCACACACACACACACATATCTAGCGGAGCAACACACAGTTGTTGTTGTCCTGTAACCAGAGCTCAGATAGGATAAAATATCAAACTGCAAAAGTCTCTCCAGTCTGAAGCTCTTAAATTATTCATAAACTGAACACCTCCACTTTTTTTAATTTAGTGTATTAATTTAGTTTCGTTTTTAAAGCGTCAGCTTATAGCACATTTTCGAAGCAGTAGGTGAGACTGGGCTTGGTTGGCAGAGCTTTCATAACTTTATTCAATATCTTTGGTGTTAAAAATATTAAGATGACCAAGCAAGGTGAAAATGAAAGTGCACAATCTTGAGTAAAAAACAAAAAGTTTTTTTTTTGTATATGAATTGCCTTCTGGCTAACTTTATTTGTAAAAATAGTCGGATGGTTTTATGTAAACATATATAAAACCAACTTTACTTTTTTCATAAATATAATGTATATTATAATTGTTATAATAATAATAAAACACAAACATATAACACCTTTTCATAAATTTAGCCAAAACATTTGCCAAAAGATGATTTCTTACGGGTCTTATATCAAAATATAATTGGTTCCTATTTTGATTAGCTAACATAGATTGTAATATTTTTTAAATGTAAATCATTTTAATTCATTTTTGTTTTGTCACAGGTTTTAGTCGTGATAGGATATCTTGATATGATGTTACACAGTGTTGCTGTATGTTACATTGAGACAGCACCCTTTTATGACCCAAAAATATACCCAGTGCCATCCAACTCTTGTAGCCATCCAACCCCGTCTCTCCTACAGCCGCATGTTAAAATAGCAGTGCTAAAAATATTTGTAGTATAAATATTTTGGATATTTCTGTTCAGCTGAGACATCAGTGCGTTTTGCGTTACCATAGCACTAGCAAGTGACGTTCATGTTGTGCTGAGAGAATAGTGTTATTCAGTTTCAGAATGTGGGAAAACATTGGGAAAGTCCCCAGTCTCTCTCTCTCTCTCTCTCTCTCTCTCTCTCAGCCATTCTGAAACACACATCATAACATACTCTGCCTTCCTCTGGAAACACTGCCCTTGAGTTTGACTACTTATCAGATCAGATCAAACATTACATGTGCTACAACGTCATAAACAAAAAAGAGAAAAAAATATTTCAATAACCAAGCTGGGAAGAAAGTCGAGGAACAGGATGAACTGGTGTCAGTTAGATATCCTGATCCCTTCCTTGTGTGCGTCTGCTTTTGCGTACATTTCCTCCCTGAAAGGAATACACTTCTCCAACCTAAAAACCAGTAACTATTAATCCTCCAATTACAACATAATAGAGTTGTAATCCCAGAAAAACAGAGGATTTGGTTTGCAGCAGTAAGTGTTAGAAAACACATCTGCCGTGGTGAGGGAGACCCTAATAGGATTATTTTCCCTGGTGGGTAATTATTGTGTTTTTCCCATCAATACAAATGACAGAAAACAGAAAATATGATCACGGTCGTGTATCTGAATTTTGAGTTCAAAAAATGCAAAAGAGTTTCTTAGGGTTGTTGACCAAGATTTTTTGGAAAAAATACCAGCTTTCTGTTGACATTTTTCTGTGTTTTCCTGGTTCTCTTTCTATAGCCAATGGTTACGTCAGTGCCAGGGCCTCCCCAGGACTCCTCTCAGTCTCCAACGGCAACAGCATGGGGAAAGTAGTGCCGGCTAAATCTCCCCCACCACCCAGCACTCAGATGGTGAACAGTCGCAAACCGGACCTTCGGGTCATCACCTCCCAGAGCAACAAGGGTCTCATGCAGCTGGTGAGCACTTCCACATTACTCTACAGGAGTCTCAGTGGGCCAAACATTATCAAATCTCAAAACTGTTCCGTGTTACAACTTATGAGGGCTAATGTTAGAGATGGGAGTAGGACTAGGCTTTCAATGTGATCCTACACAGAATTTCTCTCGAGGACCATGAGAGGGAGAAGTAAAGCTGTCAGATACACTGAGCTGATTCGTACACGTTTGTCTGTCTGCTCTCATTGTGTGTGTGTGTGTGTGTGACCCTGTTTACACCTGGTGTTAAGATCCATCCGGATTGATCCGATCTCAAGTGGCCAGTTCTAAATACAGGTGTAAACGTGTCAGAAACATTTTGTCACCACAATATATTACTTCTTTGTAGATTAGACGTTTTAAACTTTGCTGGTATCAAGCAGCTTTAAAAGGAATGGAAAATAAATTATAATACTATATATTTATTGTAAAAAAAAAAAAGATTAAAAAAAAATGTATATCAACAGCAAGAGGTGCATTAAACATCACAATATGTCAGGTTTTGCCAAACTGGGATTTGTGACAGAACTGCAGAGTTCATTAAAGCTAATACTTAAGTCATAAAAATTAAAAACAAAACATTATATTTTAAAATAATAGCAATAGAAAAACACTTTTATGTAAAGAGGAAAGTAAAAGAGGAAAAAAAGGAATTAGGAAAAATATATATATATATATTATATGCACAGTGGTGGCCAAAATTGCTCGAACACTTGGCATATTTAAGAGGTTTGAGTAGTTTTTGTTGAATTTGCCATTACAATACCCATAAAACGAACTATTGCCGGAACTACCTGCGACGGAAGGAATCTGCTGGAACATTGAAAATGATGGACTGGCCCCCTCAAAGTCTGGACCTCAACCCCATTGAGCAAATTTGGGGCGAGTTGGAAAATAAACTGGACAGATCTATTGTACATTCAAAGGAAAGCCTTTAGCTTGAGTTGCAGAAGGCATGGGATAACATTAGTGTTGAAGCTCTCAGGAAATATATTGACACTATGCCAGAGAGATGTGCTGCTGTAATTGCTGCAAAAGGTGGACATACCAAATAGTAAAGGTGCCATAGAATGGAAAACTGTATTTACCTTGGCATAGTTGAATAATAAGAGTTCTGTACATGGAAATGACATACCGTGAGCTAGTGCTAAGCGGTATACCGGTTCATACCGAATACCGGTGTTTATTTTTGTTATGATTTGAATTTTTAAAATACTGCAATACCGGTGTATGTCGCTTAAACAACGTTCGGAACGCGACACTGTTTGAAAGGGGTCCCTTTTCACTGTTGCACTGTGGTGAGGGAACAGCTGTATGTGTTACTAAGCGTGAAAGTTCTGAAACTGAAGCTGTAGAACTAATAGAACGTGATGACACAGAAGAACTCATCCACAATATCCACATTGACCGCCACAAATATCCACCGCCCCCTGCCATCAGCTCCCGCATCTCACACACACACACGAGCGCGACTTTAGCACTAGATGTAGCAACTTTCAGACCCTTTTAGCGGCTTTTTCCCATAGAATATTCACACTGACAAACCTAGCGACTTTTTTGTATATACCTTAGTTTGGAATTATAAATATGAGCGTATTTCATCTGTTAATACACATTAACTTTTTTGTTTGTTGTTTTTTTTTGTGTGTTATTCAGATGCAGGCAGTGCGCTGCATGAGACAAAAAAGTAATATAGCCAAAACAACCGCATAGCCACTCTTTAGCGTAGATGCATGTTGATTTTATCAGACGATGCCATTGTTTCCTCCTCCTTATGTAAATCTCGTGCGTGCAAAAGCCCACTGAAAAAGAGGTGAATCCTAACATAACACCGACTGTGACATTACAGTCGGGATCACTAATGTTTACGCCCCCAACATTTGCATAACGTAGGCCAGCCGGACCTGCACAGCCGAATCATTGATGCAGTGTTGCCAGATATTGCTATTAGAACAAACAAAAACCGATAAATAAATACAAATATTTTTTTTTGCAATTAAGATAAGATAAAGTTATTGCTGACCCTAAACTGCAACGTCCTACTTTATTAACTTTCTAAAGTGTAAAAAAAAATGGGAAAAACAAGTCCAAAAACGCTTATAACAGCTGCAGATATGTTAAAACAAACAAAAACCAATAAATAAATAAAAATAAACCTAAATTATTTCAAATATTTTGCAATTAAGATAAGATAAAGATATTGCTGACCCTAAACTGCAATGTCCTACTTTATTAACTTTCTAAAGTGTCAAAAAAAGTGGAAAAGACAAGTCCAAAAACGTTTATAACAGCTGGATCTGGCAACACAGAGGCTGCGTCCACCCTCACTCAACTCTCTCTCAAGCCTCGTTCACTCCACCAGCGTCTCGCAGCGATCATGTTCATGCCACGGACGCTAAACATTCTTGCAAAATCTCTCAAAATCTGTATCTTCGTCTGATACAGGCTCAAACATATAAGGTTGGATGCCTAATCTCTCCATCGTTCACGCCGGACAGTATTGATCTGTTTGCTGTGTGAGTTACTGAAATGAGCCCGCACTGTGAAACAGCCAATCAGAGCAGAGCTCAACATTATTATTCATGACCCTTCCAAATAAGGTAATAACAGACCATGTGGGTTGGAGTTATAATCTCTGTTTTCTATTTGTTTCTGGCCTCGCAGACAGATGAAGAGCTGGAGTTGGTGAGTGAGGTGAATACAGCTCAATTCTTTTGACTGTTGTGCTGTGAACGGTTTCACAACCTTTGATGAATGTTTAATGGATGTTGTGTATTGAACAATTTTTTTCTTCACCTTTTTTACACACACCATTATTCACTGATCAAGTTTTATTGATTAAACAGTTTGATTGGTTAAGAAATTATTTATATTTATTTATTTGTGTTGAAGAATACAGTGTTTTTTATATATGATCTAATTGGCGGTCAGTGAATTGGAGTTAAATGCGAGCTGTTTATTCAGTTGCAGGCTGACTGCCTGATTATTGTGTATGGCTTTAAATGAATGCACACACTCAAGGCGAAATGCACATATGCATGGGTTGATCTCACATGAATCAGACACACTAGATCAAATGTGGAGCGCAGCGGAGCAGAAGCCCTCACTCCAGAGATCAATTTGTCTGTCTGTCTCTCTCCCACCTTCTTTCACTTCTTGATGTCTTTTCTTCTAATGATTGTTGTCCAATGACTCATTAGGTGTAGTGCATGCACATCTGAGTTTGGGGCGGGAAGGGAGGTTGTTTCAGCCATCTCAGCATCTGGATCTGTGAGTGCGTGCCTGAGCAGGGCAAACCAATGTCCAATGACTGCTGAATCATGGGAGTCTGTTGACTGAAAAAAAGTGCCCTTGTAGAACCAAGAGAAGTCTCAAAGCGCCCGAGGGCTTTAAATGCAAATGTTTGACACTGATTTGCCCTGCAGACACACTCTACCCATTTTGTTATCGTGTGTTTTGTAGTGAAGCGTTTAGGGTTTTTTCTGCATGATTGAGAGCTGGGCTCAATAATGAGGATTTTTTTGTGTGGAGAGAAAGTCAGATTTTAATTGCCCTCCCAACTTTTTCAACAGCCCCACCACATGATGGTTTGGTTTTGATTTTATTTTTAGCAGCATCTTATATTATGTTTTTCTATGTTATTTTATATTTTACTGTTATATCCTTTAGGGAACAAAAAAAAATATATATATAACCGATCTGTATAACCGATTTATACAGATCGCTGTATAAACACCTCAGTTCTAACGGCAGCGCGGAGCACGAGTGAGCGCGATCATCCCTTCCTCTTTACTACTAGTTTTTACGCGAAAGAAACATGAATGAACATCTCACGCCTCATGTAATTGCTCAATCAGTCTTTCAACCGCAGAAAGATGTCAGTAAAACAGTTTGTAAATAAAATGTCACGTAGCATTTCATTTACCTCAGGCAAGTCAACTCATCAGTGTCCACATCTCGTTAGTTCGCTAGAGAAATTAAGTCTTGAGATGAGCATTTCACGAAATTTTAGAATGTATACTCATTATATTTGACTTTACCTGTTAGTGATGTCTTAATTATTTAATGTATGTTTAAATAAATCCATTATGAAACAAGTTATGACAGCCACTATGTACATGAATATATTTCAACAACAAATAGAAATGGTATAATTTAGAAGTTAATTTAAAAACTGCATTATGTGCAATTTACATGTTTACATGCTATTTTTTAAGTTTGGGCTCTGTTGTTAATTGTAGCCTTATAGTAGGCTATTGTAAAAAGGGCTTTCTATGGTTTAGAGCATAAGCTTAGATAAACCACTGTTTCATTAAAAAAAAAGTAATTTTATGTTTATTTTTTTCCCCTGCTGTACTGAAACCATAACGAAACATGATGTCAAAACTGAGGCACTTACCGAGCCATCATGTTTGTGTACCGTTACACCCCTAGTTCATACTCATACATATACAAGTCATTCAGAGATGTTCATGTCCATTCTTTCCTTGCCTGGAAAGTGAGCTCATATACTTCTCACTCATCTCATGTTATCGCTCTCTTTTTCTTTCCCTCTGGCTTTCCAGAACGCTCAGCGGTTAGGCGCCTCTCAAGTGACCCAGCCTCTTACCACACCAGTGGTTTCCGTGGCAACGCCGAGCCTCCTGAATCCATTCTCCATGCCAACCGCCTACAACACAGGTGAGAGTGACATCATAGCGAGAAGCCAAGACATCCGTCACTCTGCAGGCCTGCACACATTATCACAACTATAGGAATCAGAGGCTTTAAATAGAAAACGGTGTTTTTGTAAACTCTGTGAATGAATATGCATTAAATGTTCATCTTTGTTTTCATGCAGAGTACCAGCTAACAAGTGCAGATCTCACAGCCCTCCAGGCCTTCACGCCGTCGGGTGCACTGTTGCCAAGCAACATGACCACTTGGCAACAGCAGCAGCAGCCATCTGTATCCCAACTACCACAGCAGCAGCAACAACAGCAGCAGCAACAACCACAGCAGCTAACTCTGGCCTCCCTCAGTAATCTTGTGTATGTCATATGCCTTTTACAGACTCTCTGTCTCTTGCTCGCACCTACTCACACATGCACCTGGTTCTTCACTAACCACATGTCCATAGTGTGAGCCCACATGCACCACATCTACTTCCTGTCTACAGTGTAGAGATGAGTGTTTCTCTGATATATGCCTCTCTAGTCTGAGTCTACCTTTAGCTACATCTAGCTAGATACTGTAAAGGTTAGCGGGCAACCCTTTACGATTAGGTTATATATTTTAATATATTTAATGCAAAAGATGACATGAAATAATAATTAAAATACAGTTTAGAAGTTTGGGGTCAGTAAGATTTATATATATTATTCGGCAAGGATGCATTAAATTGAACACAATAAAGGCATGTATAATTTTACAAAAGATAAGATTGTTTACAGCATTTAATAATTAATTTAATGGATAATGAAATGAAGTTTCAACACTCCAAGAGGTATAAATTAATTTAAAGAGATAGTTAACCTAAAATTCTGTCATTAATTACTCACCCTCATGTCGTTCCAAACCCGTAAGACCTTCGTTCATCTTGGGAACACAAATTAAGATATTTTGAATCCAAGAGCTTTCTGATGAAATCCAAGAGCTTTCTGACCCTCCATAGGCAGTAATGCAACTGACACGTTCATCATTAAAATAAGTCCATGTTACATGTAGTGGTGTCAACCTTAATTTTATGAAGCTACGAGAATAATATTTGTGCTCTAAGAAAACAAAAATAACGACTTTATTCAACAATTTCTTCACTCTTTGGAATGACATGAGGGTGAGTAAATAATGACAGAATTTTCATTTTTGGGTGAACTATCCCTTTAAATGATCAACCTAGATAATTAATGCTGTAAAAAAAATTGTTCATTGTCAGTTCATGATAACTAGCACCTAAGTGTTACCGTTTAACGTTAAGCTAACATTTATTTTTTAGAAGGTGCATTAGCACTAACTAGTGTCTTTCCTAGACAAAATTTGTGGATGCTATTCTCTAAATAAGACGCTCATACGTTGTTACATTATTAATCTGCAATTTTCCCACCACACATAACTGTAACACTTTAATCTAGTTGCATTTTGTGTCTCTCTGCTTCATCAGCTATGGAGGGAACATCCCAACTACTCTGTGACTCAAAACTGGGCATCTAGACGCCCTGAATATGATGTTTCATGTTCAGGACGTGAATTAAATGTACAGGGCAGAATAGCTGAAAGCCTGCATTACCTATTTTCTCTTTATGCATCACATAATAGCCTGGGGCTCAGGTCAAGGGCGACTGTATGCTACATTATTAGCACGACACATACATCTACTTTGGTGTGATTTCGCTTGTGTGTTTTTTTTTTTCAGTTGTATTCAGCGGGTCATGATCTCATATTAGCGATCACATGAACAAGAAGTAATGACAGCGGAGGCTAACGATCATCGGTAGATCGCACAACCTAAAGCCTGCATATTCTCCCTCAGAGATTGACCTAAATAACTCTTTCGGCTGTATGCTACATTATTAGCACGACACATACATCTACTTTGGTGTGATTTCGCTTGTGTGTTTTTTTTTTCAGTTGTATTCAGCGGGTCATGATCTCATATTAGCGATCACATGAACAAGAAGTAATGACAGCGGAGGCTAACGATCATCGGTAGATCGCACAACCTAAAGCCTGCATATTCTCCCTCAGAGATTGACCTAAATAACTCTTTCGGTCTCCCACACAGAGAAAAACCCTCTTTTTCTTCCTGGTTCTCTCCTCCCCATTGCTCCCTATGGGGGGCAAACATGGAGGTGTTCTAGTCTGGTTTTAATGCCTGCTAACAGCAGGGTTAGTGCTGTGCTACGCTCTCATTAGCGTGACTGTTCGCTTAGAGGGAGAGGGCACTTTTGTTAATGCTGAGTACAGATTTGCTGATTTCTGGAGCAGGTCTAACCTGCCGTGTGTGTGTGTGTGTGTGTGTGTGTTTTGTGTGCTCTCTCTCATTTGTTTACAGCATGTGGGGCTCAGACAAACAGAACGGAGAGATGGCTCACTGCATCTCTGGTCTGGCTGCTAATCTCAGGTGAATGGGGCCCTATGGGCGCTCTGTGTCAGCCAGTCAAACCGTTGGCTCTCTGTGTCAGCCAGTCATATTCTGTAGGTGCAGTGTGTCAGCCTTTTACACGCCGCTGTCTTGTCTGTCACCTGCCATGGCCTTGTTGTCATGGTTACCGTCTCGGACCGTGCTGAAGAATGTTCGCGCTTTCATCGTCTCACTGATGACATCATCGTTAAATCCAAATTTAGCATTTTATGTGTCTTTTTATATTTTTCCTCGTTCATTGTTTACTGTCCAGTGTCCTGTGCTCTTTACACAAGCATTCAATGCTTTTCTGATAAATGTAGCTCTTAATGTCCTGATAACGGAGCAGGTAGAGATTAGTATTGCAAAGTAGGACAGACATCTCCATCATGTCCTTCCAAGTGGGTCAGGACTCTCTGGGGTTCATTCGTCCATCCTTTTGTAACCTGCCGCATGGCCACACGTTCATCACGCCAGCATATCCTGCTCTGAATCACCTCAAGCACCACACATTATATAAACCAGGCTGTTCAGCACAGCAGCAGGTCGAGGCTTAAAAAGTTTATCTGCAGCTACTGTATGATCATAATTTGATCGACAGCAATGCACAATTATGAACATTATACGTCCACTGTTTAGTGTTTTATTTTTGTGGCAATATAGTTTAAGGGATAGTTCACCCCAAAATGAAAATCATGTCATTAATTACTCACCCTCATGTCGTTCCAAACCCCAAAGACCTTCGTTCATCTTCGAAACACAAATTAGGATATTTTTTGTTCTGAAGATCAACGAAGTTCTTACAGGTTTGGAACAACATGGGTGAGTAACTATTGACAGAATTTTCATTTTTGGGTGAAATATCCCTTTAAATGTATCACACATAAATTTCATAAGTTACAAATAAATGGTGGGTAATACATTAAATTAAATGTATTAATCTGTCCTTTGATAGTTTCAAACAGAATTAGAATGAAATTATCCAGTAAAATGGTAAAACGTTGTTTCCAGGGAGGATGCAGGTGGTATTTGTTTACCAAAGTTCATGCTGTGGATTAATTCCCAAATGAACATGAAAACATCAGTAGCTTATTGTTAATTAATTTACATGCTGATTCAGGTTATAATACAAGCGATGAAAGTTTCACTGCACAATTAATTCTTATGGGAGTTTCTCTAAAGCTTGTCTAAGTCAGCAACTGTAACCAAGGTCAATGTAGCTTTTCTGTCACTAGCTGTTTCTTTATTATATATTGCATAATGTTATCAGTCATATCGTATAATGAAAATATTTTGTTTTGTTCTGCCTTTTCCCTCTGTAAGTCAAATTGTATTTTTCTGTGAATTAAACTATGTAGTTCTGTCACTGACCTCAAGGGGGCATAAGAGTAGTTTTAATATCATCCCATATTATGTGGCCTTTCTATTCTCAGTTCAAAGAAGAAAGTATTCTTCCAAATATGCAGTAGGTATTAGGTTTAGCAGGACTGTGACAGTATTTTCGTGTCTTCAGTATAACCCTGAGCAGATTTCATTGATCAGTAATGCAGTAACCTTACACCACTTTATCAGAACGTCCCACTCTCCTGGCAGCAGCTGCTGCGCTCTCGGCAAATATACAGTGAATTCCAAATGAATTTATCTCTCGTTATGCCTGAGGAACCTGTCATTACATCCCACTGTAGCCCTGACTCCCTGTTCTTTCTAATATAAATGCTAATGGAGCCATGAGAGCTCCCCGCCGCTCCGCCACCCTGTCTTCTGTTCTCATGTCATCAAATCATTTTCCCTTGCGCCGTGCTTCTCTGAGCGCCATGACCACGGCGGCCAGGCCTTTTTCTGACCGGACTGGGGTGAAGCCTCACTCTTTCCACTATGCATGAGGGTGGGATATGTATTTCTGTTTTTGGAAGTAAGCATTCAGTTGGGTTTCTTTCTCCTGCTGAGCAGTCCATGTTAACTGTGCATAGACATCTGTCTGTCCTCAACTGTTGTAGATGAGTAAATGTGTGTTTGTCACATGACATTGATTATTGTAGATGCTAGATTGGGTTTCGCCTGTCTCTCTCTCTGCAGTGTGACCTCTCAAGGCAGCTTACTCTTGGGCAGGGAGGAAGGGATCAGCTGGTACTGTATCTGGCTTTTCCTCTCTCCGTCTGTCTCTGTTTGTTGTCTGTCTTGTGGCCGTTTTCTATGCGCTAATGGCGCTAACTCTCCCGCTCTCTCTTTGGTTTCTCTCTCTATCAGTTTCTGGCTGTTTGGCTGTAGGAAGCTGGGCTTTGTCTTTGTCAGTGATTTGCTGAGTTGGCCTTTCTTTCTGTTTTGCATCAGAACATACTGAAACAGCACCTGCACCATCATCAATCAACCTGTACAGACCCACAAGACCAAACTCTCTCCATGTTTCACTACCCACTCACCCTCTCGCTGTCCTATCTCTCTTTCTCTTAGTTCACTTGCGTCCTTTTGTTTTTTTGTCCTTTCCTTTCTTTTTTTCTTTTTCATTTTCTTTACTCTTCCATATGCCTCTCTTTCTTTTCCTCTCCATTTCTTCACTATTTCTTTCCCTTTACTTTATTTTTATTTCCTTTCATTTCCCCTTACTTTTCATTTTTAAAAATTTCTTTCCATTTTTCTATTGTTTCCCTTTTTCTTCTTCTTTTATTTTCTTTAATTTATTTTCCATTTTCCATTTTCTTTGTTCTTTTACTCTTTTCCTCCTACATTTTATTTCCTTTTCCTTTGCCCTTTCCTTTTTGGATTTCTTTTCCTTTTTCATTTTCTTTCCTCTTCCGCTTTTTATCCTTTTTTTTCTTATTTTCCCTTATCCATATTCCTTTCTGTCCTTTATTTTCCTTTATTTTTCCTTTCCTTTATTTTTCCTTTTCCATTTCTGCCATTTCCTTTTTTCTTTCCTTGCCTATTTTTTCTTTTCCGCTTACTTTTATTTTTGTTTTCAGTTCCTTTCCTTTTTCTGTCATTTCCTTTTTTCCTTCAATTTCCTTTCCACTGCTATCTTTCCTTTTCCTATTTAATTTCCTCTTCTCTTCTCTTCTCTTCTCTTCTCTTCTCTTCTCTTCTCTTCTCTTCTCTTCTCTTCTCTTCTCTTCTCTTCTCTCTCCTCTCCTCCTTTTACCTTCCATTTCTTTCCAGAAAATCACTGGAATAGTTAAGTCTAATCCCATCATAAATAATACACTAAATACAGTGCATTAGGCTGCTGTCTAATTACACGGGCACATAAACAAACACACTCACTGCAGTTAAGGGTATGTGGCATGTTGTGTTCTGTGAAAGGAGGCTGATCGAGTTGTGACTGCATGGCTAACAGGAGTTAAATGACAGAGATAATTTGTCTGGCTTCTGTTCATTTTATAGCTGCTTTGTTGTACTATTATTTTTTGTATACTAAAATGTGGCTGTTCAGAGGTAGTGCAAAAGATGGTAAAGCTGTGGGTAGCGTTGCTGTTTGTCCACACGTATGTTTGTCAAATTGTTATTGTAATGCATCAGGTGTCATCTTATTAATAGCGATATCCATGATGCTAATTATTCTTCTTTCTCCTTCTACCGCAGGCCCGTGGGAACGCTCCCTCATGGAGCTACTCTGACGGTTAACACTAACCCCAATATCAGCATCAAATCCGAGCCAGTGTCTCCTAACCGGGATCGCAGCACCCCTAGTTCCACCACCGGGGCAGCGGGTGGCATATCAGGCCTAACTGTGTATCCAGCGACGCTGCGTTTGGAGCCCACCGGCCGCTCTCCAGTCGACAGCATCAGCAGTAACGGCAGCTCTTACGAAGGAAGCGACCGAGATGACGGAGGGCAGCTGCGCCCTCCCGATTTCAACTCTGCCAGCCTGGGTCTCCTCCGAGCTTCTGGAGAGCAGCCGGCCCAAGCAGAGCAGCAGGAGTCAGCCAACGTGAAACGCATGAGACTGGACACCTGGGTCACATAAACGCTGAAGGAGAGAGCTGCTCTCTCACCCACACATACACACACACTGACACAAACACACCCTTAGTGGCACCTGCTTTCAGCAGCCAGTCTCAGTCCGCACTTAGACACATGCATGCGCCTGTCTCTCTGTCTCTCTTTCACTCTTGTCTCACTCTCAGACACACTCATATTTACTGGTGTGTGTGTGTGTGTATATATTTATATAAAATATGCATATATGATCACACACGCAGTCACGCACTAGATCCTCACACACACAGTTGCCAATCCAGGTGTAAACGTGTTCACGTATACGAGACTGAAGAGATGTTCCGGGCTTTTACAGGCCTTACCATCGACCCGATCAGAGTTCAGCGGCACTGCTCTGTCCAAACAACTTATGTTGCATAGACAAAGCCTGTCAATCTTCTTTTTTTGTATTGATTTCTCTTTTTTGTTTTGTTTTTTGTATGAATGGTTGCATTTGCCATTTATCTTCTCGATTGACTCTTTCTCTCTTGCTTTTCCTCTTTGTTTTTATGTATTTTTTTCTATCTGCTTGAGCAGCTGCCTTTAGGATCGCCCCCGTTCCTTTAAAGTAGGATCTCTATCTTTGTTTTTCTAACTGTGCAGAAACTGCGCATAGTGTGCGTGCGTGTGTGTGTCAGCTGTGAGACGGAGGTGCTCATTCATTCGATCGCTAAACACAATTCAGCCAAAAAACTCCACTCTCTCGTGTTCGTTTTCCATCTTTCGTGGTATCATAATCTCGCACCAGTCCCCTCGCTTGCACACTCGTATGTGTCTATCGGCGGAGCTCTAAGCACAAACGTCCTGGATTTTCTGCGTACGCGTGGACCGTAAATGTGGTGTCGTTGATGGAAATGTAGATCTATCTATCTGTACTAATGAGATCCAGGTGTGCAGGAAACGTGCGTGTGACTGTGAGCAGCGGTCTGCCACATTATGCTCTATTTATTGTTTTCGTCTGGCTGTGTAATTCAGAAATTAATTAGTTAACTTTATGGGACGAGTATGCTTAATTATTGTTTGTAAGATTCCAGGAATAAGTAAAAATCTGAGTTGTTGTTTAACTCAGGATGGCGAGTTTTTCATGTATATACAAAATTTCTCAGTGTTTCAGAACAGGTGTATAGAGAAAGAGTTGGTGGCAAACACACATCTCAGCTATAGCTCATTTTAGCTAAGAAAGATGGAGGTCGTGTAGCGCTGTGTGTGTGTGTGAGAAGCGTTGAGATTGTACATAGCGATGTATGTTCACATATATTCTGCTGGGTCTTTCTGAAACAGCGCTGTAATCTCAGTGGAACCGTCTCTGTCAACCTCTGCCTGTAAATAAACTGTACCGTGTTGTAAGTTAGCAAGTTGGAGAGGCAGATGAAGGAGGATTTGACTGTTTTTAAGCGTGACTCTTTTCTGTCGTTTTTATCCTGATGACGCGCACTTTAAAATCTTTCCCCCTCGTCCGCTCGCACACCTTCAGACACACACGTGAGGAATTGATGCTTCCTCGCATTATCATTTACATGATCAGTCCACTTTGATTATCCGTCTTTTTACACCCCAACAGGAACAGCGATTTCCCCGACAGCTTCGAAGGGAATACAGCCTCCTTTCACCTATAAGACATTTAAAGCATTCAGGGAAGGGTGTTTCGTTTATTATTTTTTTTTTGTGAGATCTTGGCTTATTGCACTTCACATGTTTAACCGTAAACAATAATAGAAGAAATATGTCACGTTTTGTAAAAAAGAAAAGAAAAAATAATGTTGTACTGAAATCTAGATTAGGCTTTACACGTGTTGCAGATGTGACAATTATGTACACAAATCGTTTTCTGTGCATTAGTGTATTCTCTAAGTGACAAAGATGAAGGATGTTTCTGTGACGATTTTGAAAAATTACGACAGATTAAGTGAAGCTAGTGCTAAAGGGAAATTGGGGTTCAAAATGATATCAAATATGGCATATTCCCCTCTAAAAAGATGAGTTTTAAGTGTTAGTGTATTTATATTCAAGGTGAGACTCACCTGTCCCTCATCGGCTTCTCTACCTCTCCCTTCATCCTCTCGTATCTTCTCTTTCTCTCCTTTTTCCCTCTCTTTCACTCACAGAGGAAGACAGAAGCCATTTCATTTCACCTCAACAGGTGACCCATCTTTTGTTAAACCAGATTCCACACACACACACACTCACACACATGATGGATGCAGTACCGGGAGAGTAAGCGTTTGTTGGGACTGATCACAGACCTGCGTTCGTATCCCATCGACTGAGGTTCTAGAGCTACTGGGCGGATGTTTTCTAGAACTGCATCATAGCAGAGCGAGGCCTCTGCAGTGCACCTGTTGACTTAAAGACTGTTGTGTCCTGAGCTTTGAACAAATGCAGTGATTTCTATGTACGTTTATAAGATGAGAAGGCCGGTGACTGTAAAGCGATGCGCCTGGGATGGTCCGGTGCCTCGAAGCACTGGCTGTGTTGATTTTAAGGCTAAGGCAACATTCGAAAAGCTCTCACAAGGACCTCGTGATAAAATTAGGAATGTGAGTAATCAAAGAAAAGACAATCGTCCGGTGAATAGTTCACTTTGGCCCTCGTATTCCCTTTGTATGATGTCTAGAGATTCTCACATACTTTTTCTCGTGTTAATTTGTGCTGGTGACAGTTTTATTGTCTGTTTTTATTATAATTGTTATGATGATTATCATTACCATTATGGTTATCATCACAGATGGTAATAATAATGATACATTTAGAAAGACGGTTTTTATTTTCTGCATCTGCATTTTTATTTATTTTTTTGTAGGTTAGGCAGCCTATTTTAATTTGATTTTATTTTATTATATATGAATATTATATAAATATATTTTCGTTTTTGTTGTTTTTTTTGTTTTTTGTTTTCTTCAAAGGGGTGTTACTAATATTGCACGATTTATTAAGTAAAACAAAACTGTTGTAGTAATATTAGTACTTATTGCTAATTGAGGGAAGCGATAAAACAGGTTCGATAGAATGACCAGTTCAATGCTGCAATTTTTAGTCAATTGTATAATAATATCTACACATAGTTAAGGTGGGACATCCACACATTTAATTTATTCTGATCAGACACAATGCATGGGCGTCAGACAAGCAAAGAATGAGTCGTATTATAAATAAACTGAAATGTAATTTCGATAAAAATATACAACACACAGCTAGAATAGAAATTGAAGAAAAAAAGTCTAAAAAAGAAAAATTATAGCTAATATATTGTGTTCGGCTAGTCTGCTTTGAGTTTTGTTGTAAAAAAAAAAAAAAGACAAAAAAATAAAAAAAACAATTCTGTTGTTTTCGGAGAATGATATACAATTTGTGTATATTTTCATAAACAAAGTATGCACTGATATGTTATTACAAATTCTATACTGCTTTTACAAAAGAGTGTTTGTTATTGTACCAAAGTATCCATTGTCCTTTATGACCCTCCCTTTTTGCGTATGGTTTATTGTATTTTATATATTAAATAGACAAGTTGACCTACACAGAAGTGTCAGTCTATCTTTTACAAGTTTCTTTGTGGTTTGTCTTGTCTGTTCACTCATTATTAATTAATATTTACATATTAATTTAGGCACTTTTATCTAAAGTTACCTGCAAATGTCGAAAAACAAATCATTTTTAATCATAAAGTAGCAAGAAAGTAAGCAGAGATGTCTTTCAAACAATAGTCTTACAGACCCTAAAAGAAAAAAATTAAAATTTGACATTGGTAGGATTAAAAAAAAAGTTTTTAAGAAGCGTCTTACGCTAACCAAGGCTACATTGAACTGATCAAAAATACAGTAAAAATAATAATATTGTGAAATATTGTTACAATTTTTAAAAAGTGTTCCATTTTAATCTATTTTAAAATATAATTTATTCCTGAATTTTCAGAAGCCATTACTCCAGTCTCATGTTTAAAGTTGACAATGGTTGAGCTGCTTAATATTTAATATTTTCCCCTCATGATTCTTTCATGAATACAAAATTCTAAGAATTTATTTGAAATAGAATTTTTCTGTAACATTATAAATGTCATTTATATAATGTTCACATACTTTTTGAAACTTGAGGACAGTTATGGCCTTTTCTTTTGTAATAGTATCTTGTCAATTAAAATGCGCTGTTGCGTTTTCATATCTGGCCACTAGATGTCAGCCTTTCACTTCACATCGACACTGCTGCTAACATTCTACATTTTAAATCATTTCCCCCCTCTCGTTGATTCAGTTTTATAGTGTACCTTAGTTTTATAATACACATACGTGCTTGTTCAGAGGAAATCCAGTTCTCCAGGTTAATTTTAACCCAGGTTTATTTGAACCCAAATTTCGACGGCTTCGAGATGAAACTTTGGGTGTGATCTAATTATGTAAGAATGTGTTTGCCCTTATAGAGACACTGGGTTTGTTGTTGGAAATAAAAACCACAAATAGTTCATCAACAGATCACGGTGATTCAGGCACAATGACTTGACCTTGAGTGTGAGTATGTCTTGTGCATGTGTCTTTTGGAGGAGCGGGCATTGAATTCAGACCATTCCTCAATGACATTCTGTTCATCTGAGCACAGCGTCAGCTGAGTTTGTCAGTTGTGGCGTCTGGTGCAACCATTGAGCTTCTGTTTGTAACAGGTCCTGACTTATTGGATGACAAAGTCAACCTTTTTTTCCTAATGCGCTCAGACACACACACCATTTAATCTTACAGAAAAGAGAAAACACCCATCATCCTTAACAATGTAAATGTCAATTTATGCATTGATTGACAGAGTAAATGTGCTCTACAATAGTTTCATTGTATTATTTCTCTAACAGTTGATTCAGCTCTCCAGCAGGCTACAGTTCGTCTGAGGACTGAGAATATGAAACAAGCTAACAAATTGCTTAAACAGGCCCCACTAGAATTACTCATCAAAAGAGACAAATTTGGATGCATATAGCACAGATTGGCAAATCAATGTGAAATCTCTCAATGCAATGATATATCCAAAATCATTCCTCAGATGTTCGATCAATATCTTTGTCTTTATAATCAGCTGGTATTCTCTTCCCTCAGGCAGTGGGATAAATTACAATGTGGTGTACATTTTCTAGATTTAAATATAAAAAAATTGCTACCAGCTTATGGTTTCATTTCTATGTGGTTTTCTATTATATATTTTAATTTTTTTATTTCTATTTAAATGTTATATTTATAGGGGTCGTTTGTTTGCCCTTATACATTTATTATATGGATAAAAAATATTAAACTCACAATTTTGAAACAAAATTATTTAGGATTGTTTTATTGCAACATCACAATTTTTAATCATTTTGCTTGCTCTGTAAGATTATTGAAGTGTGTTTTACAAAAAAAAATATGGTCACTTTATTTTAAGGTTCAATTCTTGCTATTAACAAACCATTAACTACAACTTTTGCCTCAGTAAACTGCTAATTTGCTGATATTTAATAGCTAAGGTCGTTGTTAAGTTTAGGTATTGGGTAGGATTAGGGATGTAGAATATGGTAATGCAGAATATGTGCTTTATAAGTACTAATAAAACAGCCAATATGTTAGGCATGCTAATAAACAACTAGTTGTTACAGCAATAGTGAGAATTGGTCCCTATACTAAAGTGTTACCGAAAGTACTATTCCAGTCGTCGTCTTCAAAATATAATGTTTTACTCAATGTAATTATAAAAAAAAAAAAAAAAAAAAAAAAAAAAAACAGCTGTTTTCCGTGCCTGTCTCTTTAAATGCAAATGAGCTGCTGCTCCCTCCCTGCCCCCTTTCCCAGCTTTTCCTGCTTTTGAGCTGCGCCATTACAGCTCATACCTGCTAAAACCATCTGTTTTGGTTCTGATTATCATGTTTATCGCGCTGAAATCATGCGTTTTAAACCAAATTAGTTTAAACTTCAGTTTTCTGAGAGCACACATCCGAAGCACAGGGACAGAAAGCTGCTGTCACAGCATGTGAGTACTAAACTAAGTTCTCATTCACACACAAGTTTACGTTAAAAACACACGAGTTACAAAAACAGTCGGTTATGTCTGTGAAAGTAAACAGCTGGGAAATAAATCGCATGTTTATTTTAGATCTGTGTGGCAGCAGCAATATACAGTAAATAAATCAATAAATCCACTGCTCTCTTGTCTCCTCTGAGGCTGGGACTCTAAATAGTGTTCTGTGCTCGTCTGTGCAGCCAAAGACCGAACAGTTAGGGTGTTTTGCTCAAACTTTCGCCATGGCATTAGAGCTGGTACACCACTGACGCTTGCGAAAACACAATGACGGCGCCGTGGGTATAAACTAAATTTACAGATTAAGGGGCGGTAATATTATAATGAGATCCCTTTGCAACGTCACTAGGGGAGCGAACTCAGACACGCTTGTTTTTTTCAGGCTTGCAGAAAAAGGCTTACCAAAACAAAGTTACTGGCCTGGGTTAATCTTTTTCACGTTTCCTTGGTTGGTAGATGCACCGGGGACCTGATTATAGCACTTAAAACCTGGAAAAGTCAGATTTTCATGATATTGTCACCTTTAACATTTTGTTTTCCTAATTTAGCTATTACTGGTAATCGTTTCATATAGGTTTTCCTGTTTACTCAATTTCACTTGTCACTTTACAGTACAT